CATCTTGAAAGGAAAGTATTGCTTCTATTTAAATATTCATTTCCTGACTCCGTCGCTTCTTTTAGATTGATAAACAAACAAGAAAAACGAGGTGGGCTGTTTGGGATATTTTTTAGCGGAGTCATTTTAGGTTATTTTAGGGGGGGTGTTAATATTGGCTTATTTTGGCGTTTTGATGATAGTCCGCTAAAATTTTAATCGTTAAAATTGTAAGTTCCCTTCTAAGTTTATATCTGTAAATAGCTGAAGCTCTGTGTCGGCTAAAATTAATTACGCCAAAATTAATGGCATACCTTTGAGCAGATAAAACCCGCTATACAGTAATTAATGTAATCAAAATCAATCATCTACTCGTTATGACACATTATTTTACTCCTTGTATAGCTTATAAATAGTCTCTAATAAAATACTACCAAAAATCTAAATAAACTGGGCGTTCAATATCTTGACGTTTTATTGAACACTGAGTTTGTATTACGAGTCTGCCCGAAACATTCCTTACGAGCGTTTAATATCGAACGCCCCGTTGTTATCAAAAAAGTCGTCTGCATGGTCAAATTCTCAGAGTTAAATTAAAGAAAGGAAGTGACATCTAGGTTATATTTGTTTATTTTTTACACAAAAAATGAATTTATTTATTAAAAAATTAAGAACGAATTAGACAAATTACAAGCTAATTAAGCAAATCAAATTGAATACCGATACCACAAAAATGATTTATTTCAGATTTTTAGCTAGAATAATTGTAACATATTATTAGAAAATGTTTAACTTTATGATAAAGAAGTTTTTGAACTTATATTTGTGAATATTGGCGCTCGTTGGTTGTACAAATGCACTTGTAAGTTCGTGCATTTGTACAGCCAACTTGTGCAAACATGCACTAATATGAGTTCATATTATTATTATATAGCTAATAAATAATCTCTGATAAAATACTACCAAAATCTAGAGAGATATAGCGTTCAATATCTTGCCGTTTTATGGAACGCTGAGTTTGTGTTACGTATACGAGTATCCCTGAAACATTCCGAATACAAGCGTTCAATATCGAACGCCCCGTTGTAAACAAAAAATGTCGTCTGATCAAGTTCTCCAAGGCAAAGTAAAGAAATGAGGTGGCATCAAGGTAAGATGTGTTTATTTTTACACAATAATGAAATTATTAATTAAAAATTTAGTACGTATTGGACCCACTAAAACATAAATAAGCAAACTTAACGCTTGGTAGGGTCATCGGAATGATGCAATATTGAACACTTACAGGACAGGCGTTAATTTGAAATCCGATACTAAAAAAATCATTTATTTGAGTTTTTAAGTTGAAATAATTATAACAAACTATGAGCAAATGTTTTAGTTATGTAATAAAGGAGCTATCGAATTAATATTGTTAGATATTGGCACTCGTTGGCTATACAAATGCACTCGCAAGCTCGTAAATTTGTACAACCAACTTGTGCCAATATTCACCAATGTAATTTCAATAACTCCTTTATTTTTCTATAGCTGATAAATAGTCTCTGAAAAAATACTACCAAATATCTAGAGAATTTTAGCGTTCAATATCTTCACGTTTTATTGAACGCTGACTTTGTATTACGTATACAAGTCTGCCCGAAACATTCCTAATACGCGCGTTCAATATCGAACGCCTGTTGTAAACAAAAAAAGTTGTCTGGTCAAATTCTCAAAGCTAAATTAACGAAAGGAAGTGGCATTTAGGTAAGATGTGTTTAATTTTCACACAAAATAAAAATTATTTATTAAAAATGTAGTACGTATTAGACCCATTAAAACCTAAATAAGCAAATCATATCGCTCGGTAGGGTCATCGGAATGATGCGATATTGAACGCTTATAATTACAGGACAGACTTTAGTTTGAAAACCGATATCTAAAAAATGATTTTAGTTTAGTTTAGTTTAGTTTGCTTTTTTTAGTTATAATAGTTATTACAAATTAAGTGGAAAAGTTTTGCTATATAATAAAGGAGTTATTGAACTTATATTGATGAATATTGGCAAGGTCGTGCATTTGAACAGCCAACTCAAGCCAATGTTCACCAATATAAGTTTAATAACACTATAATATTAACTTTCATTAATTATTGCTGTCTATAATTTCCCGCGGACACGCATGTCTACATTTATATACTGTTTATACACTTCAGCTATCATTATTCCTGAAAAGGCCTAATTCTTAATAAGATATTACTTAATTGTTTTTTTTTATTACGACTTCTTTTGTAAACTGTTGTGAAAAAGTATTATTTTTTATTACCCTCCATGTGTCTCAAATCATTTTGTTTTTCACAGAAATCGGTGTTTATGTACGGCATGTAAATCTTTAATATACAATACAAAACATTGTGTAGTTCTTTTTGCATCCTTTCCAATGTGACGAACAATCTTTGCTTGGTTTGTTTCACATAAGAGTTTAATTTAAAAAAAGACATGTTTTTTATAAAGGTCACTGGTAAAAGGATATGTGGAAAAAAGGATCTAGTAGATACTTTGTCTTTAGAATATATGACGTCGCGCACGGTGTTGGTGTCAAAAAGTCAATAATTACTATTACGGCGGCATATGCGCTATTTCCATAATTTTAAAACAATTCACTATATGAAAACTATATATCATTCGGTCGGTAATTGTATATTAAATACATTTTAACAAAAATATTGATTAAAAAAATCCAACTATCAAATATATTAATTCGACTATTCAATCGATTACGTCAAAAACGCATGTAGATAGGTAACAGGAGCGTCGCACACGCAATAGCAAAATATTGATAATTTCCATAAAACAAACAATACAAACATCAAATTTAGCAGAAAAGTTCAAAATATGCTGTAACTGATGTAAAGTTTTAATTGTGATTGTGATTCTGTCCAATCCGAATGTTGTGAACGTGTTGTTCAAAATGCAAGACAGGAATGTAGATAAGTGTTATCCGAAGAAATTTTGAAGGAACATGAAATGTCATCGGTAACTTAAAACAATAATTTCATGAGCAAAATCAGTTTTGAAATGGCATGTCAATGATCCTATTTGTGTGCAAGGAACTATATTTTAAATAAGACTGAAATTTTGTGTTGATATGTATGTTGGGTTTCTGATATTAAGCCGATTTATTGTGGGGACATTAACTAAGATGGTGTGTCACAAAGTTTGTAAGATTCGTAAAATGGCAAATTTTGTAATGCTGGATGAAAAATTGATGTTGACAATTATTTTAAATTCTACAAAATGTTGCCATGTTATTAAGAAAAAGATCTCTAGACAGAATTTTGACCTGCAGTGCCTTAAATTTTAATAACAATTGCCGTCTTACATATATGCACTACATGTAGCTATACGTCATATTGAATTTGACGGCATAAACGTCACGTTAAAATGCTACACCCCAGAAATGACTTACATTTTAAGAATTTATTTTTCTAATTTCTAAACATACCAATAATGATTAATTAGAAAAATAATTTTAAGTTTTAAAAGCTGCATTTATATATGAAAGTAAAACATGTGCAGTGTATACTTCATCACTGTATCGGTATAAATCCTTCTCAGAATCGGTACAAAAGTATTATTCAGAGTTCGAATAAAGACACGAGAAAAAAATCACACAAACCAAAATTCATGCAAGGATATGATTTCAAATTTGAATTAACTCACAGTAAAGTGTCAACTCTATTTTATGCTGGTATAAAATTTTCTATACATGGCGCATTGCATTGAATAATCCAATATTGAATAAGGGTTAGGGGTTGTCGGATGTAGTAAAAATGTATTGAATTTCATTACAAGACGGGATAGGACTTTGAACGAAAAAAAAAAAAAATAATTGAGTGCTAAATCAGCAACATATCTACAATCGTACAATTGACTGAAAACAAAGGAAAGATTCTAGGGCCTACTGATATGGAATTTTTTTGAATTTATCTCAATAAAATAAAAGGCATGTAAATTTAAAATGCGATGTTGAACAAGTTTTGTTATATCAACCAAGTTTTTTTTTCTTTTTTTAAATAAGGCAAACCATGCTCATACTTTCCTCCCGCAATATGCATGCAGAAGGGTGCAGATAATTTAATGACACGTGTTTTCAATTACCTGCATTATAAAATTGGCCGCATTACTGGGTTTTTATTTTTCCTCCATAAAAATGTTAGCAAAAAAGTAACGTCAAATAAATTTTCTAGAACTTCACGTAAAATAACGTCATTTTGACGTTACCGAAACTGACACCAACACCGTGCGAAACGTCTATACATGTATAATGTATACACTACAAATCTTCTAGAAGTATAACAATTTAAGAATAAGTGTTATTATAAATCTTCTTAATTTATTTCATTTTCATTTAACAGTATACAATTTACTGAACAGTTATGCAACATACACTTAATGTTCACATTAGAAATATAACGTACCTTTTCCCCACAAGCAACTTATATTGCGATATTTCTTTCTAAATCTCAGCCTAAATGCATATAACATTTTATAAAGCTTAGAATTTTTACCTATTTTATGAAATTTTAGCATATATAAATAGAAGGGAATTGGCGTTAAATGGAAGATTAAATGTTTTTGATTGATCATTGTTAAACGCCAAGTCAGCAATATTTCAGTCAAGTTTCGGCGAAAAATGTTTTTTTTAAATTGAAAATTGGCTACTGGATATTCTAGTTACAAATAATTCTAATGTTATCCCATAATCATCTTTTCTGATTTTAGAACATATAACGTAAATTTTCTACTACTTAGCAATGTCTAATTCTATGTCCCCAAAAATTGTGAATTTACCTACATATGACATTATGAAATGTTAAAAACATTTAATTAACAAGGAATCAGAAAATTCTACAAAGTATAAAATAAGATTATGTATTATTGACTGTATACAACAACTTATTAATCTTTCCATAATAAAAAGTTTAGGATAAAATACGTGATTTTTATCCAGTTTAATGAAATTAAGTTGAATACACTTACCTAAAGTTCCCGTGGCAGCTCCTGCAAGAAATAGTTGATATTTCCCTGCTTCGTTGGAAACAGAGAATCGGTCGTACATTTCATACAGCGTTGTACCATTCTGGAGAGTTATGGTCACATAAAGGGATGAGGTTTTTTCCTTTGTTAACTGATGGATGACGTCATTTCCTGTATCAAGATATATTGAAATCAATCAATTATTCTAATGCTGCAATCATATTAACAGACGAATTATGTGAGTAAAATTTACAAAAAAAAAAACATTACTGAGTAAATTATTTGAATAGAAATATATCAAATACAACATTAATTTTAAATATTTAAAACAGAAAAGAGTCCGTTAAAAAAAAAAACACTTCTTGCTTTTCTTTGTCACTAGCATGTTTTTTCTTAGTCTTAATGTTCTTAAAATCATTTTTATTAACATGAACTAAATTAGCTTTAGAAAATTTCTGACGATTTTTAAGGAAGTATATGCATTAAGTCACTATTTATATATCCCTGTTAAATATATCAAATTCGTATCTTAGTTGTTTTAAAAATTGGTGAACTACAAAATCTTATTTAGGAAATCAACAACACACAGTCAATAGAAATCTCCAGTACATTTCAATACGTTTTTACTACTAGTAATTTTAAAATTTAATCCTTCATTCGCAACTATTTTAAAAGTTTTTTTTCCTAAAAAAAAAGGTGTTTGCTTTATTTGGAACCGGATCAAAGATTACTATTTACCAATCCAGACTTCCGCTTCCGGTGAACCAAACCCAATTTTATATCTTATCCAGTTCCTGTCAAAGCTCAACGATCCATCCATCCGTTTTTGAATTGTCTTGAAAAGATATATAACAGTTGAATTATTTTGAAAATTAAGATATATTTGCATTAGAACTTTAAAGTGGAAAAGGCTTCTGTTCTCTTACCATCCCCTTAGTAAGAAATTCATTAAATTATTATATATTCCTACCCAGAAGAACATCAAATATAAATTTAAATAAATTTGCATATTTAATTGTCAAAATTAACAAACTAAATCTCAATCGAATTACAGGGGTATACTATATAAATATACTCTCTCGCACTCTGAATAAGAATTCCAATCTAATTTATTTTACAGGTTGAATCTAAAGTCCGAACCCCAGATTAATAAGTCAAAAACAAAGTACTGGTTGATACAAAATACCTATCTCCTCGGGAACATAAAATCTTAATCAAATTACAAGTGTACTGTATACATTATTTAAAAAGCTGTATAAATAAACAACACACCGTCCATCCCCCTCCCATTGTAGACATGTCACAAAACACCTTGACAGGAATGGAGCGGATCCCATAGGGATAGATATCGTACACGCCGCTATTATTGAGACCTTGATAAAGAATATCCTGACAGTCTTTAGCGAGAACTAAAACAAGAAAAAAATAGATGATTTTATTTTGTATTTATATTTCGTATTCTAGTATTCTGTATATCACATTACAAGATATAGGCACACAAACATATTATGATCAAATAAGAATTCTTTGAAAACTGAAACAAAAGCTATTGTGAATAGTTTGTTTTGCTATTCTTAAAAAATGTTTTCTAAAAATCCATGTAATATTTGAAATGATTTGCTAAGCAGTACTAGAACTAGATGTACTATGAGCACTGAGATCACTAAATGATATTGTCCCCTCCCCCATTTGCTTATAATGATTAAGTCCATGCTTTGCTCTTGGAGACACGAAAAGTGTCAAATTCAGGAAGTAAAATAGGAAGTGCAAAATGGCATTTTATAATAAGGAATCTGTGCGTAGCATTGTTTAGGCTTGAAAAAAGATGACGGGGCCTAATTTATACGCGAAAAGTTTACTGTGACGTCATACAAAAATATGACTTTCATGTATTTCTCATAATTCCTGAAAATGAAATAATTTGCATTTTGTAACTGTATTAGCATAAAAAACAACAATAAAACTCATCAATGCATCTTAAAAATTTTGCTAGTTAAATCCTATGTAGCTGGTTATAAACAAAACACTTATCGCAATTAAGTTGTAAATATGACGTCATTTTGGTAAAAATGACGTATTGCATGTGATTGATGAATCTTTTTTAACAATGAAAAATGCATTTTATTATTAAACGGAATATTGTTTACAGTTTTTAAAAAAATCGATTAATACAATGCATATCCTTTGTTAAGTGCGATTATTCATTGACTATCAAGAGAATGTATTTTATTAATTATGTCGTGTTTTTAAGTACAAGTTACGTATATTTACAATGAGATGCCTCATAAAGTCGTACTTTCGCAAGGGCATACACTTAATAGATCTTAACCATTTTTTGAATATAGATAAAGGATATTTTTCTTAACTTGAAAAGTGCTGCTGCTTTCTTTAAATCGAGGGCGTGATTTTATAAGTATACAAAATATTTGGTAAAAGTCAAACATATTTCGACATTGGCTTATTTACCTGAAAATTTAACTATTAAAATTAGAATTTTATTCAAAGCAGCAGCACTTTTCAGAACCTACGAACTATGCAGAAACAATTAATAGCTTGAATTTTTAATTTCAACTAGGGTATGCCCTTGCGATATTGAAATTTGTTCATGACCTACATTCAGTACACGAACTATGCATTCATCACGTGACTGTCCATTGATAGGACCAAACTTCATACAGTACAGAGTGGGTTATACTATGCTATTTCCATAAGTGTTTCAGTTCTGTGATAATAAAACAGCTTAATTAAAATAATTTCAGTTTTAAAAAAAACCACTTTTTGCATGTCTATTTTCCGTTGATTTCTCATAGTAGGCCTTAACAGTGCTGCGCGAAAATATCATTTTATTTATCCTGTGGTGTAGGAGGAGTTTCGGATAAGAGAGTAGTACCCTTCAATATCAAGAATGGCAGTGTCAACGTTTGCTATAGTAAACCCGAAATATATGTCCGATCAAAAAGTAAGTAGGGATGTGCACAATATCATTATGTAACAAAGATTCTGTAAAAATTTCATTAAATTTCATTCAGTGATATAAAAGTAATTGATAATAAAAGATGGATACTCGAGAAGGAATTGACACAGACGGACGAACAGCTAGACAGACGGACGGACATCCCGATCACTTTATACCTCTCCGCTTTTCAAGCGGTGGCAGAATAATAATTTCCTGTATAAGATACTTTAACTAGCCATGATTATTTCAATTTAAGCATAAATACTTCCTAACAACCAATCGAATGGTCGTCAATGATATTTTCTGACATGAGTGACTTAAATGTATTTTTTTCTGACACGAGGGTTGAATTCACAGAAGCAAAAGAGAGTTGCCATTATAAGCATACAAATGCTTTGTAATGTTTTACCACTGTTTTGGATATTCTGCTCCCGTATTAATTGAAAACGTTTTGTCAGTTTCAAGATTTTATCCCCTAGTTCCGGAATTCATACAAATGAGAAAAGAAAAACTAAACAAAAGCTGGAATTACATTCACAAAGTAATACGAGTACTATACATTTACATTCACAAAGCAATACGTGTACTTTTGTGTTTCTTTAACGTTAATAATTTCAATAAATGATATTTTTAGGAAAAAATGATAAAATTTTAAATTTTGATAGAGAAACGCAAACAAAAACGCAAACAAAATCACCTTTTACTATCACTATTTACTATTCACTATTTAAAATTATTCCACAAATTTTTTTATAAAAAAAATATTTGAAGAAAATCGCATGTGCACTGGGAGAAATCTTGAAATTCAAAATTTTATTTCACATCAAGGTCTCCGTCTAAGGATTTGCTCTGAATTATGCTTTGATTAAATATGATTTTTTAATAGTTTATAGTTCAAAATATTTTTATCCAGTACTCATGTCAGCAAAAAGCAAATCTATATATAAAAATAAGAATTCAAATTCGACTTAATAGGGGTAATGCTTTAATCTGAGAAAGAATACTACCGTATATTGATATTTTTTTAGATTGATGAGGAAATACTTTCTGTAAGACAACTTTTCCACCTATACAACTATAGCCCAAGATCCTTTTCTTGCACTTTCAGGGATTTATAAAAGCCATTATTTACACATAAAATGTTAAACGTTCTCATCGTTATTTCTTTGATGTAAAGGAGCCCGATCGCCAAGATTGCTAACCCTTCCGTTGCACCTGATCCCACTTCTGATTTAGAGGTCATAATTTGATCTGCATTTCATTTGTATTGTTTGAATGGAGTTTGGAGTATGAATACTGTTTGTTATCATTTTCATTTCCCAAAACAATATCTATAAATGATAATACACACAATCAAAGTATCTCCAGCCCTCCTCCTCTGATGTTGACGACATGTGGAGTTTCTTGTGGAGCCGACACTTCTTCAATCCATCATTATAACCAAACACACCACAATCTTTCTGACACTTCTCAGTGCAGTCTTTGAACGATATGGAATACTCTCTTAAATGTTCTTGTTCCGACTTTTTATCGTCAAAGTCCATGTTTCTGGCATATATCCGAGAGAACATGGCAGCGAGAGGCACTGTAAAGCAAGCAACAATTAAAAAGACATACCAAAGCCTGTTCATACTGTTATCTGTGTATTACACTAGTTGTACGGTTTCTGTAAAGAAATTGCGAGCTAATTTTCACCCTAGCTGGTTTAAATATAAAAGCCTCAATGCATTCCGTACCAGTGATTGGCTGATTGTTACGTATATCACTATCTCTGGTAGATCGATTTTAGAACAAGAATGACTGAATCTTGGTCTAATTATTAAAATGATACATTTGATTATATTTTAAATGATATCCGTTGAATATAATCACGATGCCGGTTCATTCTTCTTTCTGTCCGTCAGGCTCTTAAGATTTGGGGAACCCATCTCTAATCCACAACACCTTTTATAACACTGAATGAAATTTAATGAAATTTCACAAAAGCTTTGAAACATAATGCCGTTGTACACGTCCAATTTATAGATCGTATACATACAAGGATTGCTTCAGAAAATTGGAAATTTCTACATATTTTATTTATCTATTTGTGAGAATGATTGAAAATAACAAAGAAAAAAAAACCATTTAGTATTTTTAAAAGTATTATAACAATAATAAGTATTTGAATATTACTGATAGTAAAATTCATTTAATATAGAAATGGGTTTTTGGAAATGCAGGGGAGATATGTACTCGTTTATTAGTGTTTTAATTTTAATTGTTAAGGATGAATAACACGATTTATCTTCATAAATCAGCAATAATTCTCAAAGAATTACATTTTAATTGGTAACTTGAATAACATTTACCACACATAGCGGAAGAATTGTATACGAACTTGTCATAAGGTTAAAATTTGAACAGAATAATTTTGTATAGAATTAAATAGAAAGTTAAACAAAGTCTCATGCTATCTAAGCAATTAGGAAATACTACGATTTCTTTATATTTTAGAGATTTACTACTAATGTCATTTCAAATCATAATCAGTCAAAAAATGAATATCAATTTTTGCATCCATTTTTTTTGTTTGTGTTAAGTACCCTTAATTTAAAAAGTGAGGTAAAAGCATATTCTGTATATTCTGTAAAGACTATATGAGTTTTACTGGTTATATCGGTATTTACTTTTTAATAATATTGATGATGTGTTGATTTCTTGTTAATGGTGATATTGTTAGACACTGTGGAAATTCGATCAAGTTTTGCTAAAATCTCGGAAATACACCGTACTACAACACTGCTTTAAACGCAAAAGTATAATACTGATACAGGCTTCAAAAGGAACGACTCTACTTTACCGGTCCCCAAAATAAGGCGCCAAAATATACGAATGCCTTATTCGTTACTCTTATATAGTACGACGGCGTCAGCCGTCGTAAAATTGAAAAATAAGCGTTTGGGGGCATTTTTAACCCCAAATTCGTAACGTTCGTCAAATTTTACAGTTAAAAACTTCGTTTTAAACGAAAGTTTTTAACCTGAAAACAAAATGTTACATTAAAACACTTACGTTTACATAAAATAAATCAGCTGTTCTCTAAAATGCCGTTGTCATCATTGCGCGTGCGGAGTATGCGCAGTAGATTGACAGGTGAATTTGTAAACAAATGCACGTTGCGATATGCCATACAAATTGAAAGACCTTCGGAAAATATTTGAAAATGTCGAAACAATTATTGACTGGTTAATTCAATTAAATTTTTTGATTAATCTGAAAGACTGCAAATTTTGTGACTTTGGACGTTTTGGATTAGGAAGGGACACTTCATTCAGTCGGGACTGTTACGTGTGGAGATGCTTCAACAAAAAGTGTCATAAAAAGGTATCAATTCATAATGGATCATGGTTTGAAAATCACAATTTAACCTTAGAACAGATCCTGTATATTACATATTTCTGGGTTCACAAGTGTAACCAGGAATTTGTTATCCACGAACTGGAAATTAGTAAGAGAACCATAGTGGACTGGTACAATTATTCCAAAGAGGTGTGCGACGTGATTTTACAAAAAACGGAAATAACATCATTGGAGGCCCCGGGATTATTGTCAAAATCGACGAAAGTAAATTCGGGAAAATAAAATTCCACATAGGTAGGCGTGTCGACGGGGTTTGGGTCGTAGGTGGATTTGAACGGGATTCCAAAAAGTGTTTTTTTCACTACTGTTGAGGACAGAAAAGCTGACACATTAGTTACCATCATAAAGCAGCACATCAAACCCGGAACAATAATAATAAGTGACTGTTAGAGGGCCTACAGTTCCCTTAACTCAGAAGGTTTCACTCGCCTGATTGTCAACCACTCTATTAACTTTGTAGATCCCGACTCCGGTGCTCACACAAATACAATAGAATCCACCTGGAGAGCTCTCAAAAAATCCCTACCATCGTCAATTTATCATTGAATAGAATGCGGACTGACGTTTTTAATACCAATTGTTAGTCCATTATTTATACACTGAATTGACGAAGGATTTTTTCCGTTATTTCCTGATTATGACAACGAGCACACGGCGGGTGTGACCGGTCGGCAGGGGATGCTCACTCCTCCATGGCACCTGATCCCACCTCTGATGTTTCGGAGGTCCGTGTTTGCTCTGCTCTTATTTGTATATTTGTGTAATAGACGTTGAGATTGAATACTGTTCGTTATTTCCATATCCTTCTACCCAAAAACGGATCCCAGAAAACGCTCTACGACAGTTATTTCTCCCAGTACTTCGTACGAAAGTTGTATTTAAACGACTCCCCAGACCCTTTCCTTCGCTTTCTCAAATTCATATCGGAAGTTTACAAACCAAACAAAGCCGACTTTATCTCTGATACCATTCCGCCTTTAAAAAACCAAGAACGCCACTAGTTGATCTCAACCCAACCCTCAATAACAGCCTAGATGATTTTCAGATTTAAGGTAAGAATTCTTTGTTGTTGATTTACAGGAAACATTTTCGCCAACATTTTACAAGCGAAATCAAAATGGCCGCCGTAAACTCAGGAACTTAGCAATGGGTGTGACGTCGAAGTTTTGCGCGTGAGTCTAGATGCTGGGGACCGTAAAGTAAAGTCTACCCCTTTAAAATGATGTAAGCAATCGAATTTCCATAGGCATGAGAAATTTAAGGAAAAAAGAACCTCCATGAAGCTTGATTAAAAGTGTCACCGCATTTTGGAAGGTCAATTATTTTCTCGTTCACAAATTAAGTGTTAATTGACGTGGACCACCAGTGCACATGCACTTTGTTTTACGTTGTATCTGAAATCGAAACATTCCATGGAAAGACAGTTAATATTTTGAAAAATCATTATAATATGATGATTAGAAGGTGCGAGAGAAGACCTTGGTTATTCTTTGGAATAGAAATGAAGTGAAAGGGCAGTTATCTGCAGCAGGTGAGGACGAAATGCTCCTTCAAAGTGATGTCACATATCTAACCTGACCTTACTTTGAAATCTCCCCAGGATTTAACAATTTTCCAGAAATCCCTTATGACCATTAGGGTACTAGTAATTGAAAAGAAGTGAAATTCTCCAGTATTGTTGCATATCGGCTCAATTTTAAAAAAAAATATGTCTAGATCTAAGGCTTGCTTTTTTTAAGTCACGATAATTTTGAAAGAAAATCCAGAAAATTTTGGATAGACAGCCGTATCATGGGTTTCTCATAACAAAACAATATTGCTATGTTGTCAACAATATTTACATTCTTTTGTATTTTGCGTATACAAAACACCATAACATGGACAGAGGGTCAAAAGTTTCAAATATACGTTTAGCTTTGACGTCCCAAATATTGAACGCCGTAACGAGAAACGTCAGAAGAAAAAAAAAATACAGCTTGATGAGTTGCAGATCAAGTTTGAATATTGTTCCGCTTCAATGATTTTTTAAGGAATTACGACCTTTTCAATTTTTCAGGGTTTTCACACTTTTCTCCTTAACGCTTGAATATATTGAGCTGATTTTAGCATGGCACATCACCTTTATAAGTTTATAGATCAAGTTTGCATTTAATTCTGCTTAATTGATTTTTGATACAGTATTTTTTTTTTCTTTTACTTTTATATTTGGATTCATTAGAGGGTTCGTGTTGCACTAAATTTATGTCGTGATGCACTAAATTCATGTTCTAAACGAGATTGTCATGATTTGAAACTTGCTGGATATCTTTTAACCTTGATTAGTTTTAGATTAAGATGCATTTCGCTTTGCTTCATTGATTTTTGGAGGAATTATGGTATTTTTATTTTATTTTATTTTTTACAATAGGGTTCACAATAGGGTTCGTGATACACTAAATTTATGTTTTGATGCACTACTTAAATTAATGTTCCTAACGAGATTATAGTGATCTGAAACTTGCTGGATACCTTTATAGTGACAACGATAGATCAAGTTTGATTTTTTCTGTTATAAAATTATTGTTTAACAATGTCAAAAAGCTGCTCTGATCAGAGCATTTGTGTGTGTCAAATGGCATTCAAAGACGTCACGAGTCTTTCTTTGTAAGGAAAAGCCAATACATTAAATTCATATTCAAGCAATAACTGAAATGTCCACATTTAAAAGGGCATGGAAACAGATTCAGCTAAAATTTCAAAACTTATTTTTCCATTTTTACTAATATGAAACTAGGGTCTTTCTAATGATCATAAAAAATTTGAAAGCCAGTTGTCCAGATACAAGACAGATTTAGAGCTCCTAACCTTTGTTATGTAAACAAGGCTAGTGTCATGTTTTTGTTTACACAGGTAAAAATACTGAAATATGTTCATTTAAAGTAGATAATTTCAAATAAAAGTTAATTTTAAATACGATTCGACAGTTACTATTGATTTGCTGAACTTAATTTTGTTATAAATATAATCTTTTCTATATGTTAACAAAAACAAGGCACGAGCTTTGTTTACATTTTGAAGAACTTGAAGTTCTGTATCTTTTTTGTTAATCAACAGATGATGTTCAAATTTTTGCTAAACAATAGATGATGTCTTAGGTAGGAATTGTAAACATTAAAATTGGTTTTAAAAAATCTGTTGGAAGTG